CACTCAAGAGAATGACAAAGGGGAAAAATATAAAATCTGTGCTGAGAGAATGAACTAATGAATCCTCATAAGGGCCCAATTGCTCAATGCTGTCCCTCCCATTTCTTCTTCTTTTTTTTTTTTTTTTTTTTTTTCCTTTCAAATGTATAAATCTAGGCTACAATTCTCTCAGCAAAGTATATATTTCTTTAAATGCCAGCAAATTTCTGCCTCTCACTTCCTTCCTGTAATCTCCTTTAAAACATTACTCCACCTAGACTTTTCCTCTGGTTTCTTATTCTCTCTCCCTGTAAAGCTTCTCTTCACCTAGTTTTGTTTCCTTTATGACTGCAGAAGATGTACTCAATGCACGGATGGATGAACAGGACTATCAGGCTTCTTTCAACATGCACTACAAATCTGGCAACATACAAAGAATTTCTTTGCAAGCAGAGATGAAGAAAATCTGCCACTCAAGAACTAAAGAAAATTTAAGGACTGAGGTGTTTCAGCTGTGCTTCAAAACAAAAGATTTGTTTTTAACCCTTCTGAGAATTGCTGACTCCCAAACCTTAAGGATGCCTGACTTAAATCCTTCTCACTGTACTGTAAAGTGCCTCAAGTTTGAAGGGTTTTACAGCAATCTGAAACAAAAATGTCACAGACTTCATTTGCTTAAACCAGCTTTCCTATTCTAACTTTTATTTCAAAAATGATTCCAAAATGATTCCTACTGCATCAACAAAAAGATGAATTTAAATTTAGAGGCATCTGTCAGGAACAACATAAAGAAGAAAATGGCCAAACGCAATCTGTTACCTGGGATGTACACTAAAAGGTGAAAGCACGTGAGACAGTGGAAGAGAGGAAGTTGTGGAAAATAGCACTTTAGGGCACAGCAAATCATATGTATTTGGTAGCAAAATGTATACATACCCTGACTGAGAAATACATTGCAATGATCAACTTGGTTAATTAAGAATCAAGGAACTGGTCATCAGTAGAAAATATAGATAAAGCCCATCTCCTTATTGCACAATTGAGGGAGAGAAGCAAGGGCAAAATACAAATAAATCATGAACAGTTCAACGGTTTTGCCCGAACTGAGTCATAAAGCTGAACAGCAGGCAGGAGTCCCGTTGTTAATGCTGCTGTTTGCCATTACCCATTACCCATTTTGCAAGAGCCTTGTCCCAGTTACCTTCACTGGATCACTGTTCAGAGTCTTATCATCCAGTAAGAGAAACTCTGTCAAGAGTTTGAATGGTACTAAAACTGAGAGGTCATTTCTAAATCTGAGCCAACCTTAGCTTCAAGTTAATTCCCTCCTTTACAGTTTATCATAGAATCCTTAGAGTTGGAAGGAACCTTTAAAGGTCACCTAGTCCAACTCCCCTGCAATGAACAGGGATATCCACAGCTAGATCAAGTTGCCCAGGGCCTGATCTAGCCTTGCCTTGAAAGTCTTCTGGGGTGGAGCATCAACCACATCGCTGGGCAGCCTATACCAGGGCCTCACCACCCTCACTGTGAAATGCTTCTTCCTTATGTCCAACCTAAAATGACCCTCTTTGAGCTTGAAACCATTTCTCCTTGTTTTGTCACCACAGACCCCACTAAAGAGTCTATCCCCTTCTTTCCTGTAGCTCCCCTTTAGATATTGAAAGGCTGCTATCAGGTCACCTCGGCGCCTTCTGTTCTCCAGGCTGAACAGCTCCAATTCTTTCAGCCTGTACTCATAGGAGAGATTTTCCATTCTGTGAATCATTTCTGTGGGCCTTCTCTGGACACACTCCAACAGGTCTGTGTCCCCCCTGTACTGAGGACTCCATAACTGGATGCAGTACTCCAGGTGAGGCCTCACCAGCACAGAGTAGAGAGGCAGAATAACCTCTCTCATCCTACTGGCCACATTTCTTTTGGTGCAGCCCAGCATACAGTTGGCTTTCTGGGCTGCAAGAACACACTGCTGGCTCACGTCCAGCTTCCCATCCACCATACCACCCCATTTTATTTTTTGGCAGGGCTATACTCCTTTCAACTCCCAGCTTGTATTGTTAGTGGGGGTTGCCTTGACCTAGATGCAAGATCAGATTTACCTCTAACCCTTTTCTTCACAAGAAAACAGCTTGTGTTGCAGGTTACTGAGGCGTAATTGGATGTTTAAAAAACAAATAGACAAAAAACAACCCAATATGTACATATCAGAACTGTAGGTTTGCTCCTTTTCTGCTTTCCTTTCACTTCCTTGTCTTTTATATAAAATTGTAAAACACATCTCTGGAATCTTTCATTCCCTAGTTTCTTTAATTTCAATTTAACTGAATACAGTGTTTTAAGGAAAGCCAATATTCTCCCTCTTTGCTCATTTTATGAGCATCACACATTTTTTTGTACTTTCCATTGAGCAAGTAATTATGAATCTGATGTATAACCCTTCAAGAGCTAATAAAACTCAGAGAGGAACATAGAAATACCATTAAGATTTCCACCGTGCTGCCATCACATGTGATGACAAAGAAACTTTCGCTAATTTGCCAAATTTATGAACACAGCTGCAACACCATGCAAAAAATTATGCACACATTAAATTGTCCACATTATAGACATCACAGCATACTCAAACATGTACGTGCCACAAATAAGTTTCTTTTTAAAACACTACAAAAAATTGTCTCTTCTAGAATTGAAGTGATCCTACATGTAGAACACAGAAATCCTTCGATATTAATACACAAGTTGAAGATAAATTGCAATTTCAGTATTCTATAGCTGAGACACACTAGATTAGTCCAGATCAGCTTAACCACAAAACTCTTCTAAAGCTGAGATTCTGCTGAATGTGTTTATTCTCTACATGAAAAATATTAGGTGCATGTTTGGTTTGCTCAGTTGTCTTCTAAATCATCACTTCCTTAGAAAACTGAACTAATCAGGCATGGTTTCTTGTAGCTATTCTCTTGTTTAAGTTTTTCACAAAGCTGAGACATTAATAGTACTTTTATCTATCTACCTATGAATATTCTAATTTTTAACACAAAGTGAGATCAAGCCACAGTCCTTTCCCCTGGGAGAATTAGGATAGTGCACTCCTCCATCAGTTATTTTCACTAGCCATGTTGGACTTGAATATATTTTTTTCTTTTTAAAAATCTTTTGTTCCCTCCATCAAATTTGGCTAAAAAATCAATATGAAAATTAACTGAAAAAATATAGGAGACAAACACACATTGATGTATGATGCTCAAAGCCCTATTTTCACATGGAGAGGCTGAAAAATACTACACCTACGAAGAGCCAGAATGTGAAACACCTGCATGGAAAGGAAATGATGTCTGGAATACAAAGGTTCCTTTGGGGTACAACTGCATATACTTAATACTAGGCCAGAACATAAGACCAATGCCAATTCTACTAAACCATATACCTTCTAAAGAAAATGCAGGACTACTTTAACCAAGACAAATACAGAGGATACTGAGATATTCTCTGAATGTGACTTCTTTTCCCTTTAAAAAAAAAAACAACCATCTCTGAAGCAATAGCTGAATGTTTTGTTTCTTTACAGGAGGGAATTACTACAGCAAGTAATAGGAGAAGAAAACATATTCGAGGGATTTTTACTGTCTATAATTGGCTGGCAATTAGGTCAGAGGTATTTTACCATAAAACAACTGAAGAAAGCAGAAAAGGGATGCTCAGTTTGGGGACCTACAGCCATCCTACCTTTTCTTATGAATGGATAATAGTGCTAGAATCTAGCTCAGCATTCTTGTCATTACTTTCTTAGAAAGCAATTATTTCACTAAAATAATGATTAATTTTATTTTTTTAAATTTAATTAATAATTATTAAAGTGTACTCTTTTGCACACACAGCATCAAAACACTAAAAAAGAATCACTGAATATGAAGTAATATCACTTGCAGTGAAAACTTCCCTATGCACTTTACGATTGAATAGAAGAGATGAAATTATCCCTTTGGAATAATTTATTAGTGTTTGAGAATAATGGAATATTCATACAAAACTAGTATATTGCCTTGTGTCTATCAGTAAATTTTTCTATCTTCTATTCCAGATCAGTTATGTATAATCTAGAAAGGAAGAACTGGAAGTTGCTTATACTTAATACTTGGAAGCAACAAGATGATCATCACTTGATCATAGACAACAAAGTGTGAACAAGATGAACACGGCTACAACTGGAATTGTTTCCCTATGTTTCTTCTGCTTTTTGTAACTATCCCCATCACCAAGTCTCAACTATATTATGCCCTGTCCACATCATGTACAGAAGCCTATTTTTCACTAGGGATGAGTTTAATCTTTTAACATGGCAACGTGACAGTGTATTCCCAAGAGTGAGATAACACATGAGACAGTGATTCAAGAGCCACTTGTTCAGTATTCCTGGTGGACTTGGGGTGATGACTTTCCAAGAGGTACTGAATTGCTGCACTATATTTTGACCTAAAGTCAACTGAGAGTTGTCAGCTTTGTCTAGATTTTGTGTCAACCACTATTTATGTGCAAACCTAAAAGAGAGTGAAAATCGGGTGATGAAAAATTGAGGCAAGAATAAGGTTCATTCAAGTATTTGCAACTTAGTCTCCCACATTCTTTACAGTTCAGCTGTGTACCTATATAGCCTGCATCTTGGGGATGGCTAAATCCATCTCTCCTTCTTGCAAAGTGCATTCAAAAGTTTTCTCTCTTAATTACTGAGAATATCACAAGTAGCAAAACCAAGTTTGTTGTTGAGTTTTTTGTTTTTGTTTTTTACTCTCTGCAGAACCAAGATTCACTTAGAGACCTCCATACTAGCAAAAGCTATGTGTATCATACCATACAGTTATAAAAGACCAACCCTGTGTTTTCCAAAAGACAGAACATTCACCACTAGGCTGGTCAGTTTAATATTGAAACGATGCTACAAAGTCTGATATAGTAACCACCTATGATTAAATGTTATTTTGTAAATATGGGTAGACAAAGAGAAAAACAGAAAAAGCATGTACCTGTTGGATAGTGTTCATTCACTGGCCAGCTGTCAACTTGAAGCGTAGCATTGCCGCCATTCCTGGTAAAGCGCACCACATGGTATTTGCCATCATTCACAGGTGTGCTTTCCTCTTTAATAGAGATATCCACTGTGCCAATATTGAAGACTACGCCAATCTTGCCCTGCTCCTGAAAGAAAAAAAGAAAAAAAAATCTTACAAATTGCTTGCTATTAGGAGAATGTTCTGGCCCTGTAAATATCTACTGGGTTATTTTGCCGGTAGATGGCACTGAAGAATACACAGAAGCATCATTTTGAATTTAGTCAAGATACACTTCATTGGCTCTGCTTCAAGGCTGACATTGTCTTCCACACTCTTCCTTATAGCTTTCACGTGAACATAGCAACTTGCTTGCTCTCTTAATTATTACAAAGTACAGTTAAGAAATCAGGCAATAAAACTAAGGAGATGTGAACAGTTACTTGAACAACAATTCCACTGATTAGTAGTTTCTTGTTCAGTTGCCATCTGAAGTATGTGCACATCCGGTGCACATGCAGGCTGTACCCTAACTGTTCCACAAATGCAAAAATAGAACAGAATAAATAGCCTCCCTAAAACAAATAACGATGGGAATCAGCAGAGTGAATGTGTTTTCAAATATAATAGAATAAGAAATGAGCAAAAATGTACTAACCAGCTTTGGACATTTGAGGGAAGCTAATTGCTCCTAAACCAAATGGAAAATGCTACAGACCTTCAAAGGATTGGAGTGACTGTAGTCTTATTTTTCTATCTCACGTGCTCCAAGCAATGACTTGCTCCCCCTAGTGATCTCCCAAAACTTTCCAAATGCAGTTAACAAGAATACATCTTCAAGCTTTCAGAAAGGAGATGTACAGTAAGCTGGCTTCAGGGTTTATGAAGGCATACTACTATGTCCACAGCAAGGATTCAATTCTGATTCAGACAGAACTAAAATTTTTCACTCATAAACCATTACATTTGTTACCACCCATACTATAAAACCAGCATTAGCCTTATTAGCTGTCTCAATGGAGAAATCGGAAAAGAAACAAAACAAGATAGTGGAAGGCCATCTCATAACCTCTTTGAAATAGAACTGTGGTGTACATCAGACCATCAGACTTTCTTCTTTTTCCTTTTTTCTTTTTTTTTTTTTTTCCTAACAGTCTACCTTACCTTATTCTTTGAACTGCAATCATAGAATCACAGAATCTCAAGGTTGGAAACGACCTGCAAGATCATCTAATCCAACCACCCTCCCATTCCCAGTACCACAAGCTACTAAACCATCTCTCGTAGCTCCTCGTCCAGGCGCCTCTTGAACACTGCCAGGGACGGCGACTCCATCACCTCCCTGGGCAGCCATTCCAGTGCCTGACCACCCTCTGAGAGAAAAAGTTTCTCCTAATGTTCAACCTAAACCTCCTCTGGTACAACTTCTGGCCATTTCCTCGGGTGCTACTATTTGCCTGGGAGAAGAGGCCAGACCCTTTTTCATCACAACCTCCCTTCAGAAAGTTGTAGAGTGCAATGAGGTCTCCCCTGAGCCTCCTCTTCTCCAGACTGAACAATCCCAGCTCCCTCAGCCACTCCTCATAAGACTTGTGCAATATCAATACTGCAATATCAGTTGAAAAGGAAAACAAACAGTCCTATAACTAAAGAGATCATTAAAAAAACGGGACTGTGTCTGGATTACTTTAAATTTAGCACTGTAACAGCATATAAAGCATTCTCCCTCTTCTCCGAACAGTAAATTTTAGACTCTACTGCATTTATACTGGACAGCAAGAGTCCTACATTCATTCACACTACAATGTTTTGGACTGACTTCATTATAAGATATAAGTAATCTGTTTTTTAATGGTGATAGGGGTAAGTTGATTGCAACATTTTATTGCAACTGAGAAATGCAGAAAATTGTGTAAAACACACCACAGGCCTAACTGAAAACCTCCTCCAGCTCTATACAGTCTCTCCTCCAGCAATGTTCCTCATGACTTTCTGAGTTTTGCAGAAGCATGACTTTACCAGATTTTGATACTCATACTTGGACTGACCTGGATCTTGTCATGAAAATGGTTCTGTTCCAATTACCAGGATAGAACACAACATAATGCAATTCTCTGAAAGCAGAGCTATTGAAACCAAACTGCAAAGAAAGACTTGAAGGTATACAAGTCATAGTTTATTAGTTTATTCATGTTTTGTTGTTGTTGTTTTAGTTTTAGTATCTCTAGGGCACAAGATTATCCCTGGAAAAAAAATCCAACTGTTAGTTTACTCATTACTGGTAGAAAACAGTAAAACAAACTAGAAAGAAAAACCTACAGCAAAATACAATGACCATGGATACAGGGCAAATACAGGAGTTATTTTCAAGATTTCTTCATCTCCAGTTTCCTCTATTACAACAGCTAATTAAAAGCAGCTTTAATGAATATCTTCCCTTTAAATTTGAAAGATAAACTTTACCACTAGCATTGAACAATTCATTATGGACTTGGCCTCTATCACTCCATTCCCCATATAGCTAGCACATTTTCTTTCTATGTTACCAAACATGGATATTAACTAGACCTGCAAGTATACGATGAAGAAAGATGCATTTCAAAGCCACTATGTTTATTTTGTACTTAAATAAATAAATATCTTGCCAAAGTGAGGAAAAATCAAAATACATAACCACAGAGCTGCAAGTTATATGCTCCAGAAGAACTCCAGAGAATTACAGTAGACTAGGCATTCCTTGCTATCAGCACTCACTGATCTGCTCCAAACTTCTTATATGAAAAGGTGATCGCACATCCCTTGATATTGCTGCCCTCAAAAGCCACACTGCTTTCTCCTCACTTTCAAATTTTTTGGAGATAAAGTTCTGTCAGGAGGTTTCTAAGACATCAGGCAAGTAATTATCATTACTTAATGAATGATTGTAGATAAATTACATGTATAGAAATACTAAAAAGAATGTATAAAGCCTCACTTTGTCCTCTCTGTTCTACACTACCATCCCCTTCAGGCCCTGGCAGCAATTCCTTGTTATATGCATTGCTCCAAAAACACTATGAATGTTATTAAATGACATGGGCTAATCTAGGTCCAAGGATCAGGAGATATGGAATCTTACCCTTAAGCATTATTTTCCTTTGGGCAACATTTTATTTTACCTTCTCAAAAAATAGATTCTTCATCAGTAAAAGAGGAGTGACAGATATTTATCTTTCCAAGATCTACAAGCCCTGTAATCCAGACATATTTTTCCATAAACTCTGATAGCATTTTAATAATCCAACAAACAATTACATATTGAAATTGGAAGGAGCTGACAGTGGCCTCTTGAAAGACCAATGACAATATTTGCCCCTCAGTTTCATGACAGAAAGCAATCTAACTGAAACAATGCTCTGAAGGAGAAGGAAATTATCATTTTAGTACAGAGCATCACAACGCACAAGCTGGAGATGGAGATTGTGAAATTCCAGCCATACACCAACAGCTGCACACATTGCTTACTTTCAGAAGGGCTCTAACTTTTGGTCCTCACCTTTCAGCCATCTTTTTCTTAATCTAAAAGTCAAATCATCCAGACTGAAAGCAGACAGCTGTTCCCTGTGCGCAGAAAACATTTTCTCAAAAACTAAAAGAATACCAGGCAATAAAACAAATCCTATGCTGAGATGCATCTATATGAATAAATAGCAATTCTGTGGAAGAAACTCAGGACCCTTACTGATGCAAGAAAAAAGAAAAATAACTTTATTGAGGTGAAAGAAGATATACACGTCAGCTAATTTTGGCAGATTTTTGAGAGATATTATAAGCAGTAGGTCAACTATTGTTTTATACCTTCTTTTTTTACTGCTTCAAGATGTCAAACTAGATTCTGTAAATCCTCATTACAAAACAATCAAAAAAAAAAACCCAATACATATACAGAACAAAATAAATAGAAATTATTACTGTTAGGGGTCATGGTTTTTTAAAAGAAGCAATTCTCACAGATACATAATTTATAAGGCTAAAAAGGACAAATGTTTTAATCTAGTCTGCTCTAAAATTTTATATGAGACTGTATATCATGTCAGAATTGATCTTTTTTTGAACTATGGAATATATTCTAGAACAACATGCGATTGTGATCTGAATATTAACAGCTGAGGGAACAGTCATTACAACTGGGTCTTTTCAGTTACTTTTTTGATAATATTGGCCAGTTTTGAACACAGTCAAACAGGCAAGGGAAATGTCATGAATTATAAAGAAATGGAATAGTATATAAAAGGAAAATCTCTGTTTTAAGTTAATGGTCTACCTTTGACTTGAATTTTTGAACACAGTAAACAGAATTTTATAAGCTCCCTCAGTAACAGAAGAAACACAGAAGATTCTAAAAAATATCAAATTTGATACTGTATATATAAAAACAAAACCATTGCTATTATTTTAATAACTGGAAGAACTATAAATATGTACTAAAATCATTCAGTAACAAAATTTATTCAAAAGTAGTACAGAACTGAATCATGCAATTCACTATCACAATATGTGTTGGATGTTTAAGATACATTCAGAAATACAAAAATTCATGGGAGGAAAGTCAGTCATGAACTATTGGACACAACAGTGTGAACATAATATCCTGCTCAGTAGATCCTTAAAAGCAGATCATTACTTTTTATTTTAATTTTTACCATCTATACTGAAAAGCATCTAGCTTCTATAAATGGCTTGTTAGACTGTGATCAAGTAAAAATTTTTTTGAACACTATTACCAGTTCTTAAGCATTTCATAAAGAGGTAAAATGCTGAAATTAGCAAAGTTTAATGATAATCTAATCTTTTCTACTGAAAGTTTTGAATTGTGGCTTCAGTAAACATCTGCCAAGGTCAGGCTTGTATACATAGTTCTGCCTTAAAACAAGACAGTACTAGAGCAGATGATTTAAAATTCCAGCTTCATCTTTCTGGGATTGCATACTCCCGCCAAACCCATATAATTTGCTACTTGTCAGGAACTTTATACATCACTACAGGTTTTTTGGTAACTGGTACACAATATAAATAAAATTAAGCCTAGGAATTTATTTGAAAGCTGATATCATTAACAAAGCCTGAGACCTTTTGAGATTTTAACTCACAGAAGCAATCTAGTCAGTA